TGAGCCCCCTGCAAAAGCTCAAGCTAACTTATTTATACAGAAGCCAAAGCCAATTTAACATAGGAGACAAAAGGAAGCAGAAACTGACAAATATACATACATATCTTATGTGCATACTAACGTTTACCAACCTCCTTGCTCAGTAGGAGCTCTAAGTCAATTAGTTTGAGGACCCATTGTCTCACACTCCTTAACGTTTCTCTTCCTGACAACTATATTTCAACAAACTCTTCAAGCAGCATTTCTTTAATGAATTATAATTTCAATATAATTCATTCTACTTTCACAATCCCTCTTTTCGGTCTACGCAGTCTACACAAAGCTACGCAATGACCAATAATGACTGGGTTCCACATATCAATCGTTCTTTATCTCTTTGTTCATCAGTGATATTTAAAATCATCAAATTAGCACTCTGGTTTGGGGCAGCTATCTGTGTAGCACGCCTGACACAATTTTGGATACAACAGGAAAGTAACTGAAAACATACAAAAATTACTAGGATTCCAAACAGGAGAGTTAGGGCTCCCTGAAACAACCAGTTTCCTATGCCAGAGAAATTGAAAAGGTTACTTAGCCACTTCCATAAAGAACTTGGCTCTTCGTGGGAAAGATATGCGATTTGCTCTAAGTGGCTAGCACGATCTATTACTTCATTCTTCTTCTGGAGTCAAAATTGACTCTGCGCTGTCCTGAGGTGGTGATTGGTTCTCTGGGGATGGTGCCTTCTTACACTGTGAAGCATGTATCCACAATGCAATGCCAGATAGTTTAACAGCTGTCTGTGTAGTAAGCAGTACCTGATGAGGACCCTTCCACCGGGGCTCCAAGGTGTGCTTTCGATGATGGCGCCATACGTAGACCCAATCACCTGGCTCGAGGTTGTGACAAGCATCGGAGGTGGGTTCCGTGGGCCAGGCGGCTCGAACCTGTGAATGAAAGTGACTTACAGCTAGCATTAGTCCCTTGCAATACTGAAGGAGCGCACTGTGAGTCAAGTTCAAATCAGAAATGGGAGTAATGGTAGTCATAGCTCGCATAGGGCGTCCCATAACAATTTCAAAGGGACTTAATTTATGCCTTTGGGATGGAGTGGATCTCATGTCCATAAGGGCTAATGGTAAGGCTACTGGCCAGCTTAATCCTGTAGAGTCACAAATGTTAGCAAGCTTATTCTTAAGTCCACCATTTCGTCTTTCAACAGCACCTGCACTCTGTGGGTGGTAGGGACAGTGCAACAGGTGTTTGATATGCAATATACGGTCCAGGTGTTGAACAAGTTGTCCAGTAAAATGTGTACCCCGATCACTGGACAGAGTAGCAGGAATTCCCTTGGCAGGCATAATATGATTTAACAAACATTTGGCAACAGACAGCGAGTCAGCCTTGCGACAAGGAAAGGCTTCAATCCAATCAGAGAATAAACATACCATAACCAATATAAATTCATATTGTTGACACTTAGGCATTTGTACAAAATCAAGCTGCCAATGCAAGAACGGTGCTTGAGGCAGACCCCAGAACCCCTGGGCCACTTTTACAGGTTTACCAATATTATGACTTTGGCAAATAGTACAGGCTGCACAGTGGCGGGCTGCAAAACAGCTAAAATGGGGGGCCCACCATCTTGTCTTAGTTACAGCAGAGACCATCCCTTCCTTTCCGACATGCGAAACACCGTGTAGCAGGGCGGCCAGAGATGGGTAGAGTGAAAAGGGGGCTACAAAGGCGCCAGTAGGCGAGCGCCAAAGAGAATCGGGACGTAGAGAACAACCTTGGGCAACCCAGGCTTCTTTCTTGGTTTCTGGGGCAAAGTCTTGGAGCAGCGTGAGGTCAGTGAGGGACCAGGAGGGTAAGAGGAGAGCGGAGAACAAGGGAACCAGACATTTCGACTAGGCACGCTGCAGCAGCCACAGCACGCAGCCAGGGGGGTAAGCCTTGGGCAACAGGGTCTAAATTGGCAGAGAAATAAGCCACTGGGCGGTTCTTTTCTCCGTGCATCTGAGTGAGAACTTCAAGTGCACATCTAGATTGTTCATGGCAGAAAAGGGTAAAAGGCTTAGAATAGTCAGGCAGCCCTAAGGCAGGGGCAGAAGCCAAACCCTGTTTGAGGGAAACAAAGGCAGAATTGGCCTCAGGGGGCCACGGCATGGGGTCAGGCACAGAGAATAGAGTGAGTTCCTGGAGAGGTTTTGCAAGGGAGGCATATTGGGGAATCCACTGTCTGCAAAATCCAGCCATGCCTAAAAACTTCCGGGCGTGGGGAGCGGGGTCAGGGAAAGCTAAGGATAGCTTGGACGCGGGTGGGAGAAAGTGCACGGGAACCCTGGGAGAGGAGAAAGCCAAGTTATGTGACAGAAGCTTGACAGAGTTGTAGTTTAGAGCGAGAAGCTTTGTGACCCTTATTTGCTAGGGCAGTAAGGAGCAGTAAAGAGTCAGTTTCAGAGGCAGACAATGAAGGGGAACAGAGGAGTAGATCATCTACATATTGGACTAGTGTGGACCTGGACGGGAAAACAAGGTCAGCAAGGTCTCGGGCTAATGCTTGGGAAAAATATGACGGGCTTTCAGTATACCCCTGGGGCAGTGTGGTCCATGTGTACTGTTGCCCCTTGTAAGAAAAGGCAAACAGGAACTGGGAGTCAGGGTGAACCGGGACAGAAAAGAGAGCAGAGCACAAATCAACAACAGTAAAATGAGTTGTATCTGGTGGGATAGAAGCCAGAATCTTTGAGAGAGGCAAGTTTTGATTCTGTCCACCTATGATTTGCCTCTTCCCACCACTGCATGAAACAATCAACCTCTCCTTTTGCCAATTTAGTTTTAGGTTGGCCGAGTTTGTCTTTTAAGACGTCTACTCGGTCTTTGTCCCAAGATCCTAACAGTGGCCACTGAATTTTGGGATTCTCCTGAGTTAGCCTAGACCATTTTTCCAGAAATTTACAGGAGTCCGGACCTTTCCTAAAATACATAAAATGAGCCGGCGTTCCTTTAGGGAACTGTCCCAACTTAGATGCCTGGCTACCCATACAGGAGGACTTTACACACCAATCACACAAGAAGGAAAGTTGGGTTCGTCAGAGCGATGCCCGGTGCAACACACAAAAGGAGCCCACAGGTTACTGCCTCAATCGCCCTTGCTTTCACACCAAGGGTTTTACCCAAGGCACGGTGCGGCTGCGATTGTGCAGATTTCACTTACTCAGACCGTGGGGAGAGGAACCCTTTGGTCAGCCGATCCCCAGGCGGAGACAGCGCCCAGACGCAAACACACCACAGGGAGGACGGATAGACACAGAGACAAGACAGTCCTCAGTCCGGACAAAACACAGAAATAATTACCTGACCAGATTCCTGATGTCAGATCCTGGGATCCCTACCAGAACAGAGTGGGAACCAACAGGTTCGATGGCATAGACTTCACTGTGGTCATGCACCCTTCCGTTCTGGCGGAGGACCGCTCGGGCCAAATGCCCAGGTGCTGGCTTGCCATGGCTGTCCTAAGAACGGTCAGGAGTCACACGGCTCCAGTGAAGATGGTTGCCATCTCGTTGGAACTTCCAAATTGTCAAAGTCAGATTCAAGGCTCACAGAATTTGTCAGATCACTCTGTTTATTAGCAAAGCGCTTTGCCAATGCACCCAGATATATGTGAGCCCCATGCAAAAGCTCAAGCTAACTTATTTATACAGAAGCCAAAGCCAATTTAACATAGGAGACAAAAGGAAGCAGAAACTGATATATATACATACATACCTTATGTGCATACTAACGTTTACCAATCTCCTAGCTCAGTAGGAGTTTCTAAGTTAATTAGTTTGAGGACCCATTGTCTCACACTCCTTAACGTTTCTCTTCCTGACAACTATATTTCAACAAACTCTTCAAGCAGCATTTCTTTAATGAATTATAATTTCAATATAATTTATTCTACTTTCACACTGGAAATCTAAGTACACTGTGTCCACCGGATCCCCTTTGTCCACATGTTTGTTGACCCCCTCAAAGAACTCTAATAGATTAGTAAGATGTGATCTCCCTTTACAGAAACCATGTTGACTTTTGCACAACAATTTATGTTCTTCTGTGTCTGACAATTTTATTTTTTACTATTGTTTCAACTAATTTGCCCGGTACTGACATTAGACTTACCGGTCTGTAATGGCCAGGATCACCTCTAAAGCCCTTCTTAAATATTGGCGTTACATTAGCTATCTTCCAGTCATTGGGTACAGAAGCTGATTTAAAGGACAGGTTACAAACCATAGTTAATAATTCCACAATTTCACATTTGAGTTCTTTCAGAATTCTTGGGTGAATGCCATCTGGTCCCAGTGACTTGTTACTGTTAAGTTTCTCAATTAATTCGAAAACCTCCTCTAGTGACACTTCAATCTGTGACAATTCCTCAGATTTGTCACCTACAAAAGACGGCTCAGGTTTGGGAATCTCCCTAACATCCTCAGCCATGAAGACTGAAGCAAAGAATTCATTTAGTTTCTCTGTGATGACTTTATCATTTTTAAGTGCTCCTTTTGTATCTGGATCATCCAGGGGCCACACTGGTTGTTTAGCAGGCTTCCTGCTTCTGATGTATTTGTTATTACCTTTTGAGTTTTTGGCTAGCTGTTGTTCAAACTCCTTTTTGGCTTTTCTTATTACATTCTTACATTTAATTTGGCAGTGTTTATGCTCCTTTCTATTTACCTCACTAGGCTTTGACTTCCACTTTTTAAAAGATGCCTTTTTATCTCTCTGCTTCTTTTACATAGTTGTGAAGCCACGGTGCCTCTTTTTTAGTTCTTTTACTGAAGAGTTTACGTAGCTCCCAAGTACCTTCCCTCCTCCCTTCAGTTGCTCTCTCTGGAGGTAAATCTAGAAGTGATACACTTGCAAAATCAGCAGCCCATTGGTGACTCTTTCCCCACCCCCTCAACCTCTGATGCGCCTCCTGGTCCTCCCAGTGTCTAGCGACGCTCCTGCCAAGGCCAATACCTAGCCCAAGTTGAGCTGCATGAATCGGGTGCTCCCAGCACGGACCGGCCCTGTTCCGGGCGCAGGATTCAGAGCGCGCCGCGCGGGGCTGGGAAAGGTCCAGAGGGAAGCGGTGGGTTCCCCAGCTCTTCGCAGCCAATGAGCGGGCGGCGGAGGCGGAGTTGGCGGCGGCGGATCTCAGCAGGCGGCAGCTCTCGGTGCATTGGAGGGAACCATCCGGCCCTGGGAGCCGGCGTCCGTCCCCTCGCCTCTGTTCCAGCAAGGGCGGCGGGGAAGGCGCCGCGGCAGAGCATGGGGCATGCCCGGGCTTCATGAACGTCCCTCCTAGGCGGTCTTCCTCTTGGGCATGACCCAGCGCCAGAGCATCCCTGCTCCGCGGCGGTCCCTGCGGCTGTGCGACATGACCCAGCTGCTGCGTGCCGCAACCGGGCGAGGGAAGTGGAGCAGATCCAGCGCGGCCAAGCGGGCTGCGTGCCTGGTGGCTGCGGCATATGGGCTGAAAATCCTCTACCCCGTCCTCCGCAAGCGCCTGCAGCAGACAGCCTGCGAAAAGGGCTTGCAGGCTGCCTGCCGGGCGGGAGGGGGAGAGGAGCCGCTGCATTGCAGCCGGATCCGGGGCAGAGCCTCGCCGGCAGTGAATGCGGAATTTTTCAGGCAGCTGCTGGAACTTCGTAAGATCCTCTTCCCGAAGCTTGTGAGCACCGAATCGGGCTGGCTTTGCCTCCACTCGGTGGCTCTGGTCTCCCGGACCTTCCTCTCCATCTACGTGGCCGGGCTGGATGGGAAGATCGTCAAGAGCATCGTGGAGAAGAAGCCCAGGAGCTTTGCCATCAAATTAATCAAGTGGCTCATGATTGCAATTCCTGCCACTTTCGTGAACAGCGCCATACGGTACCTGGAGTGCAAGCTGGCCCTAGCCTTCCGTACCCGCCTGGTGGATCATGCCTATGAGACCTACTTTGCCAATCAAACTTACTATAAGGTGATCAATATGGATGGGAGGCTGGCGAACCCTGACCAGTCCCTGACCGAGGACATCATGATGTTCTCCCAGTCGGTGGCACACCTGTACTCCAACCTGACCAAACCCATCCTGGATGTGGTGCTGACATCCTATAGTCTTATCCAGACCGCCAGGTCCAGGGGAGCAAGCCCCATCGGGCCTACGCTGCTGGCAGGGCTTGTGGTGTATGCCACGGCGAGAGTACTGAAAGCGTGCTCACCCAAATTTGGCAAGCTGGTCGCAGAGGAAGCTCATAGAAAGGGTTATCTACGGTACGTCCATTCGCGGATTATAGCCAATGTGGAAGAGATCGCTTTCTACAGAGGACACAAGGTAAAATGGAAATAAAGGCAAGGACTAAAATCTGGGATGATTCAGAACTGTTGCTGTACTACTAGATGTTGATCTACTGTAATAATGGTGGTCATGTGCCCTCGCCCTCTCCTCTATGAGGGATATGAATTCCTCTGATTCCTAAACCTGTTTACGATATATACTCTCCCACATTGTTTGGAGAGAGACAGAAGTATAGAGTATTCTCCATTTTATTTTTCTTTTAAAGTATTCCTACTTCTGAGCAGCATCACGTTTCTCTAGTAAATTTTAGTTTCCCTTTTCTGTCTCGTTTCCAAAAGGTGCCCTAGCTCTTAACCTTTCCTGCCTCTTATTTCTCCCCTATTTTATTAACTAAGAATATTTAATGATACAGAAATACTATTTCTCTAAATGCAAAAATCAGTAGCACACAGTAATCTAGAAGAAAACTTTGCTATAGTTTAGATGGCAACACAGTCTTTGACATTGTCTTGTATAGATAGCTAAGGAAAATTGTTGTCACTACAGTCCTAAAGTTGCTGAAATAGAGTACAGTATTTGGGTTATCAGTTACATAAAAGTAACATAATTTAAAAATCAGCATGTTGAAGAAATTTTCAAAATTATATTGTGAATTTTGACTGCATTGTGTTTAAAATGGCTTTTAAAAAAGTTTCACATAATGTGAAAAAGAAAATGGCAAAATTTCATACTACCCTTTCGGTCAAAAGTATTAATAAGACAACATAAACATTTAATTTTTATAGTAGCAATGAGCACCAAAAATTGTCTGCAGCACTGCATTAACTGCAGCTCAAATAAACATTAAATTCAACACTTTTTTTCCGATTCCCACTTTTGTGTGGGCTCAAATTGACTGCATTATGTCATACTGATTTGTCACTTTTCAGAGTAGCAGCCGTGTTAGTCTGTATTCGCAGAAAGAAAAGGAGTACTTGTGGCACCTTAGAGACTAACAAATTTATTTGAGCATAAGCTTTCGTGAGCTACAGCTCACTTCATCGGGTGCATTCAGTGGAAAATACACTGAAAATACACTGTATTTTCCACTGAATGCATACGATGAAGTGAGCTAAAGCTTATGCTCAAATAAATTTGTTAGTCTCTAAGGTGCCACAAATACTCCTTTTCTTTTTGATTCGTCACTATTCTTGACTCATTTCCTTGATGTAGATTATCACTTCCTCTTGGCACATTGCTTAAAGACATGAAATACCAATTCGAGGTATTGGTTCTGCAGATTTACTCAGGCAAAACTCTCATTGGAATAAATTGGAATTTTGCAGGCTTGAGTCCCCAAATGTTGCCTATTCCTCTTCATTAAACATGTATAATTAGTTTTACTTTGATGGTAAGGAACAGCTTTTATCACTCACTTGTATTTTGCTCTGGTACTGTGAAGTGGGTGGAAAACTGCCAGAGTGAGGTAAAGGGGCATTGGTGTAAATCAGAATCAGGCCCAATGAGTTCCATGAGCTATGCTGATTTACACTGAGAATGTGGCCCTTTGTGTAAACAGATACCACATAGCTTGCAGTACTGATTGCAAGGTATAGTGAAGAATTCAAATCCGAACACTGGTTATTTGATTATATTATAAGTACGTGTGTGTGTATTGTACCTATATGTATATTAATATTTACTATTCTGTGTAAGTACTTACATTTTTTTAAACTATAGGTGGAGATGAAACAACTACAGAAAAGTTACAAGGCTTTGGCAGACCAAATGAACCTCATATTGTCTAAACGTTTGTGGTACATCATGATAGAGCAGTTCCTGATGAAGTACGTCTGGAGTAGCTGTGGTTTGATTATGGTGGCGGTACCTATCATCACAGCAACAGGATTTGCAGATGGCGGTAATAAGACTTTTATTTAATTTCAAATGTTTGTTTAAAGATATTAGTGTAGAAGAGTAGTCACGTAAGAAGACTACGTTTCATTTTAATACCATTTGTAGCTGCCGCGCTATAATATCCAAACACCATGCATGCCTCATCCTTGGGTAGCTCCTGGGATGTGTTTAAACTTTACAAACAAACCACTTGAAGAAATATCAGTGACAAAAAACATATCTTTGAATTTAAACCTGATAAACAGAATACATTCTGACAGGTTTCAGAGGAACAGCCGTGTTAGTCTGTATTCACAAAAAGAAAAGGAGTACTTGTGGCACCTTAGAGACTAACCAATTTATTTGAGCATGAGCTTTCGTGAGCTACAGCTCACTTCATCAGATGTATACCGTGGAAACTGCAGCAGACTTTATATACACACAGAGAATATGAAACAATACCTCCTCCCACCCCACTGTCCTGCTGGTAATAGCTTATCTAAAGTGATCAACAGGTGGGCCATTTCCAGCACAAATCCAGGTTTTCTCACCCTCCACCCCCCCACACAAATTCACTCTCCTGCTGGTGCTAGCCCATCCAAAGTGACAACTCTTTACATAATCAAGTCGGGATCTCTGTCAAGCTTTCTTACAACTACAATACCCACCTACAGAAGTAAAGAAACAGATTGATAGAGCCAGAAGAGTTCCCAGAGTTACCTAGGACAGGCCTAACAAAGAAAATAACAGAACGCCCTAGCGGTCACCTTCAGCCCCCAACTAAAACCCCTCCAACGCATTATTAAGGATCTACAACCTATCCTAAAGGATGACCCAACACTCTCACAAGTCTTGGGAGACAGGCCAGTCCTTGCCTACAGACAGCCCCGCAACCTGAAGCAAATACTCACCAACAACCACATACCACACAACAGAACCACTAACCCAGGAACTTATCCTTGCAACAAAGCCCGTTGCCAATTGTGCCCACATATCTATTCAGGGGACACCATCACAGGGCCTAATAACATCAGCCACACTATCAGAGGCTCGTTCACCTGCACATCCACCAATGTGATATATGCCATCATGTGCCAGCAATGCCCCTCTGCCATGTACATTGGTCAAACTGGACAGTCTCTACGTAAAAGAATAAATGGACACAAATCAGATGTCAAGAATTATAACATTCATAAACCAGTCGGAGAACACTTCAATCTCTCTGGTCACGCAATCACAGACATGAAGGTCGCAATCTTAAAACAAAAAAACTTCAAATCCAGACTCCAGCGAGAAACTGCTGAATTGGAATTCATTTGCAAATTGGATACTATTAATTTAGGCTTAAATAGAGTCTGGGAGTGGCTAAGTCATTATGCAAGGTAGCCTGTTTCCTCTTGTTTTTTCCTACCCCCCCCCCCCCCAGATGTTCTGGTTTAACTTGGATTTAAACTTGGAGAGTGGTCAGTTTAGATGAGCTATTACCAGCAGGAGAGTGAGTTTGTGTGTGTATGGGGGTGGGGGGGATGTGAGAAAACCTGGATCTATGCAGGAAATAGCCCGACTTGATTATGTAAAGAGTTGTCACTTTGGATGGGCTAGCACCAGCAGGAGAGTGAATTTGTGTGGGGGGGTGGAGGGTGAGAAAACCTGGATTTGTGCTGGAAATGGCCCACCTGTTGATCACTTTAGATAAGCTATTACCAGCAGGACAGTGGGGTGGGAGGAGGTATTGTTTCATATTCTCTGTGTGTATATAAAGTCTGCTGCAGTTTCCACGGTATACATCTGATGAAGTGAGCTGTAGCTCACAAAAGCTCATGCTCAAATAAATTGGTTAGTCTCTAAGGTGCCACAAGTACTCCTTTTCTTTTTGAGAATACATTCTGAATCAAAGGATAGGTTTTTCAAATAAGATGCAAAGGTGAATTGTGGAGAAACAGTTTATAAATATCACTTTAACCATTTACTGCCCTTTTTGATGTATGAAGATGGTCTCACAAACTTTAAAATAAAATCTTGTTTTTTATATTCGCAATATCAAGAATGTCAGGTGCTGGCTTTCCTCTCTTCACAGGCCCTAAGCAGTGATGTCTCATCAAGTTGTAACTTTAGCTGTAGCTCTCATGCCCCAACCAAGGCTGGGAAGGTGTGTCAATTCTCAGAATGTCTGCTGCTATATTACTAAATACTATCTGACTATCTAGTGGTTTTTCTGTGGCGTTTGCTCATCACCTTAGTATCAGAGTGCTTCACAAACATTAATTAATGTTTATTTATTCTGTTTTGTGCTGACCTGTGTAAGAATCAGCATCTCCTCTCACCTCAAGTAGAGTACAGAAAGGGATGTGAAGCTCAGGTTATAGGCTTTTATGACAGAACTATTCAGGTCTTCTGAAAATCATGTCCAGATCTTCCAGCAATGAGAGCGAAGTGAGGCCCTGATTTTAAAGTTGTTTGAAATGTGTTTTTTTTTTTAAAAAGTCAGGGAAAAAATGCAGTTTGGCAGAGCAGGAGGCAAGGGGAATGTGTTCAATTAAGAAGTAGTAACAAGCAAAAAAAAAAAATTATTTGCTTGTTACATAGAATCATAGGACTGGAAGGGACCTGAAGAGGTCATCTAGTCCAGTCCCCTGCACTCATAGCAGGACTAAGTATTATGTAGACCATTCCTGACAGGTATTTGTCTAACCTGCTCTTAAAAATCTCCAATGATGGAGATTCCGCAACCTCCCTAGGCAATTTATTCCAGTGCTTAACCACCCTGACAGGAAGTTTTTCCTAATGTCCAACCTAAACCTCCCTTGTTGCAGTTTAAACCCAATTCTTCTCCCTCCTCCTTGTAACAACCTCTTATGTACTTGAAACATGTGCAACTCTTTGTACTTTCTAAAAAAGAAAAGGAGTACTTGTGGCACCTTAGAGACTAACCAATTTATTTGAGCATAAGCTTTCGTGAGCTACAGCTCACTTCATCGGATGCATACTGTGGAAAGTATAGAAGATCTTTTTATACACACAAAGCATGAAAAAATGGGTGTTTACCACTACAAAAGGTTTTCTCTCCCCCCACCCCACTCTCGTTCTGGTAATAGCTTATCTAAAGTGATCACTCTCCTTACAATGTGTATGATAATCAAGGTGGGCCATTTCCAGCACAAATCCAGGGTTTAACAAGAACCTCTGGGGGGGGGGAGGTAGGAAAAAACAAGGGGAAATAGGTTATCTTGCATAATGATTTAGCCACTCCTAGTCTCTATTCAAGCCTAAGTTAATTGTATCCAATTTGCAAATGAATTCCAATTCAACAGTCTCTCGCTGGAGTCTGGTTTTGAAGTTTTTTTGTTGTAATATCGCAACTTTCATGTCTGTAATCGCGTGACCAGAGAGATTGAAGTGTTCTCCGACTGGTTTATGAATGTTATAATTCTTGACATCTGATTTGTGTCCATTTATTCTTTTACGTAGAGACTGTCCAGTTTGACCAATGTACATGGCAGAGGGGAATTGCTGGCACATGATGGCATATATCACATTGGTGGATGTGCAGGTGAACGAGCCTCTGATAGTGTGGCTGATGTTATTAGGCCCTGTGATGGTGTCCCCTGAATAGATATGTGGGCACAGTTGGCAACGGGCTTTGTTGCAAGGATAGGTTCCTGGGTTAGTGGTTCTGTTGTGTGGTATGTGGTTGCTGGTGAGTATTTGCTTCAGGTTGGGGGGCTGTCTGTAGGCAAGGACTGGCCTGTCTCCCAAGATTTGTGAGAGTGTTGGGTCATCCTTCAGGATAGGTTGTAGATCCTTAATAATGCGTTGGAGGGGTTTTAGTTGGGGGCTGAAGGTGACGGCTAGTGGCGTTCTGTTATTTTCTTTGTTAGGCCTGTCCTGTAGTAGGTGACTTCTGGGAACTCTTCTGGCTCTATCAATCTGTTTCTTGACTTCCGCAGGTGGGTATTGTAGTTGTAAGAATGCTTGATAGAGATCTTGTAGGTGTTTGTCTCTGTCTGGGGGGTTGGAGCAAATGCGGTTGTATCGCAGAGGTTGGCTGTAGACAATGGATCATGTGGTGTGGTCAGGGTGAAAGCTGGAGGCATGTAGGTAGGAATAGCGGTCAGTAGGTTTCTGGTATAGGGTGGTGTTTATGTGACCATCGTTTATTAGCACTGTAGTGTCCAGGAAGTGGATCTCTTGTGTGGACTGGACCAGGCTGAGGTTGGTGGTGGGATGGAAATTGTTGAAATCATGGTGGAATTCCTCAAGGGCTTCTTTTCTATGGGTCCAGATGATGAAGACGTCATCAATATAGCGCAAGTAGAGTAGGGGCGTTATGGGACGAGAGCTGAGGAAGCGTTGTTCTAAGTCAGCCATAAAAATGTTGGCATACTGTGGGGCCATGCGGGTACCCATAGCAGTGCCGCTGATCTGAAGGTATACATTGTCCCCAAATGTAAAATAGTTATGGGTAAGGACAAAGTCACAAAGTTCAGCCACCAGGTTAGCCGTGACATTATCGGGGATAGTGTTCTTGACGGCTTATAGTCCATCTTTGTGTGGAATGTTGGTGTAGAGGGCTTCTACGTCCATAGTGGCCAGGATGATGTTATCAGGAAGATCACCGATGGATTGTAGTTTCCTCAGGAAGTCAGTGGTGTCTCGAAGGTAGCTGGGAGTGCTGGTAGCGTAGGGCCTAAGGAGGGAGTCTACATAGCCAGACAATCCTGCTGTCAGGGTGCCAATGCCTGAGATGATGGGGCGCCCAGGATTCCCAGGTTTATGGATCTTGGGTAGTAGATAGAATATCCCAGGTCGGGGTTCCAGGGGTGTGTCTGTGCGGATTTGATCTTGTGCTTTTTCAGGGAGTTTCTTGAGCAAATGCTGTAGTTTCTTTTGGTAACTCTCAGTGGGATCAGAGGGTAATGGCTTGTAGCAAGTGGTGTTGGAGAGCTGCTGAGCAGCCTCTTGTTCATATTCCGACCTATTCATGATGACAACAGCACCCCCTGGGTCAGCCTTTTTGATTATGATGTCAGAGTTGTTTCTGAGGCTGTACTTTGAGAGTGTATACTAACTTCAGAAGAAGATAAATCCACAAAAAAAGAATACAATGATTAAAAATTCCTGTTTAACATTTTTAGATACTGCATATTCGAGCTTAGAAACTATAATGATAGGTATCCTAGCAATACCTAAGCTAAATAAATGGATAGCAAATGACTTTGAAGTTGGCTCAACAAATCTCCATATACATGACTGGAATCATAAGAAATCTTAAAAAATCAATAAGATTCACCATGCAAAGATTCTGTAATGCTTTGTATATGAAAAGATCAATTTTAAATCCAGTACATTTAACCAAATTGCCAAATTCCTTATCAAATTCAGACAATATGCACAAATTTCACCTGCTCTGAAATTTGGTTATCATATTCTAAACAAAGGAGTTTATACAGGTCCATATTACACAACAACCAGTGAAGGATAACAGTGCTTTAGTACTTTGGTAACAGAAATTATGTTAGCCAATTTAATGTACTTTCTGCTAAAATGGAAATAAGCGCAGCTCAGCAAAATCCCTTAACTGATAAAGAGATTATTTAACCACAAAATGTAAATGTCTCCTCCCTAGCCCTTCACCCATGAATCAGAAATAGGTTAGTTGTCCTTCAACAAGAGAGAGCCGCTATAAAGGTGTAGAGAGGAAAGGAGCAATATTTCACCCATATCATTCTCTGACATCCAGGAATGGACCTCTGACAAATATGTTTAAAATGTGGAAAGAGCAGAAGGTCAGAAAAATAAATCTGTCTTCTCCAAATCAGTGATAGGCCTGGAGGAACAGCAAAATGTTAAAGTGTAGAACTTATTACAGAGCCCTGAGGCATTCTACAAGAACAGGGACAAGATCAGAAATGCATTATTAATGGTGACAAATTGACCCCATCAAGTGGTAAGAAGTAAACCAGGTATGCTAAAAATCCAACAAGTACGGCTCACCGCTGAAGGCAAATTAGTTGGAGAAATAGTACTGTATCCAATCAGATCAAGTGTGGAAGGCAAATGAAGTTGGTTAAAATCTCAGGAATGGAAACTAGAACTGTCATTGATGAATAAACCCATTAGAATCCAGGAAGTGTTTGGAACCGAATAGCTAGTGTTTAGAACTTATGATCATGCCTGAAATCACATCTGTTCACATAGATGTGATTTCAGACAGCAGGGATTGCATCAATACAGCAATAGCCTTTTCACTGTTGCCAAAAAAAAATTGGGTATTTGTATGTATTTAAAACACACACACATCAGAGCTAGTGCTAACTTTACTGATATCCATTTGCTGTTACAGTATATACATTTTGTAAGTAGCATAGACTCTCAGGGTTGGAAGGGACCTCAGGAGGTCATCTAGTCCAACCCCCTGCTCAAAGCAGCACCAATCCCCAATTTTTGCCCCAGATCCCTAAATGGCCCCCTCAAGGATTGAACTTACAACCGTGGGTTTAGCAGGCCAATGCTCAAACCACTGAGCTATCCCTCACCCCAATACTCTACTATTCTCTAAGTACTCTAGTATGCAAAAGGAATCATACAAAAAATACCAGTAGACCAAAATATCCTAGTGTTTAGAACTTATGACCATGCCTGAAATCACATCTGTTCACACAGATGGTCATCAGACAGGAGGGATTGCATCAATACAGCAATAGCCTTTTCACTGTTGCAAAAAAAAAATTGTGTATTTGTATGTATTTAAAACACACACACACACACATCACAGCTAGTGCTACATTTTCTGATATCCGTTTGCTGTTACAGTATATACGTTTTGTAAGTTGTTTTATAGTACTCTAGTATGCAAAAGGAATCATACAAAAAATACCAGTAGACCAAAATATCTTGAATGTAGTTAGTTCCCTGGAAATTAAACATTAATGACAATGAGACTTTAATTTCATTAGGCACAATAGCTATGTTTTTTCCATAAAACAAATGGGATTAAGAAGTTTTATAAGTGGGGAACATGTTAAACTACTGACAGAGGTTGGATACTAGACTGGCCTAGTCTGTTGTAAAGTCTGCACTTCCTCTAACACAGAAGGAAAAGCCTATATATGAAAAATATTGGAGAAAATGATCAAGAAAAGTTATTTTGGGCAGGTCTGGTGGTTTGATTTCAGTCATGCAATAATTGAGAATTGTGTTCTGGAACAGTTTAAAGTTCCTCAAATTTACCCAATTTTAAACCCACAATGACATCTAAAATGCTGGCTAGATCAGTAAAACTTGGTTATCTGCCAAGAAAGAGTTATAATTTTTTTTTTTAGTTTGTGCTACTGAATTGGCAACACTACTGAGACCCTTATTCACATGAATCCTCCAATTGGAGTAAATGTGACAATTTACATGACTGTCTATATGAGTGAGGGTTTTAGGATCACACCCTAACTCAGGAAGGTTCTGTCCTTTTCTAGAAAGGCATGACTCTCATTGTGTACCAGATGTGTATATCCCAGTGTGGTGGGTGACACACTATTGACTTGGCATAACTTAAACTAAAAAATCTGAATAGCCACAGTTTTCTTAAATAATTCAGAAATTGAATTTTGAGACAAAGGGAGGCCAAATTGGGGTCTTACGTATATGACAGTAACTTTCTATATAATAATTTTGGCCCGAAATGTTTATACTTATCTCTGGTGTATCTTCATTGATGTAAGTGGAGTTATACCAAGGATGTATTTAACCAGGGTTTTTTTGGTGACTTGATAAATTAAAACAAACCAGTGTTTGGGTATCAGGAGCTTCAAAAGCAAAAAGAAGATACAGACAGGTACAATGAGATTTGGTACAAGATTTATGGTACGGGATTTCAAACACTGCAGAGTCTGACCTTGTCAAGGAGGTGAGAGAACCACTCGCTACATAAGAAAATTTTGCTTATGTTGCTTTATCATTACCTGCCATAGAACAGCACATAAAATGACCATCATGTTACACCTGTAGGAAACTGCTCACAGATTTTCTTGACTAAAAGCACTGAGCCAGCCTAATAGACGTTATTAATAACAATTCCTGATATAGGAGTTGGCATACTGGATCAGCCTACTAGTGTGGCTTGCCTAGTGTCTGGCAGTAGCCATACTTCAGAGAAAGACAGAAGCTCCAATCTGCATATCCTCCCCAAACCCCTCTTGCAACCTAAAATTTTACATTTGGTTGACCATATATTGTCATCTTAATTTGCTTAGTTGCAGATATTAAGGATTATACATTATTCATTCTTAAAAAATTCAGCTACATTATTATCTTGATGATTTTGTGGAGGAGCAAATTACAGATTGGCTCTGTGCTGTATAGCAGTTTCTGTGGGTGTGATGACGGCAAGAGATATCACAGTAGCAGAGTTGGACTCCAGGCTTGAAACACTTAATGAATTTTACTCTGGTAAAAACAAACACTTCATGTGAAGATATTATACTTAAAACATAAATGTGTTTCTTTTTCCCATGCCCTCTCTAGTTTCAGCTGCCATTTTTGCCTTTGTCAGTTGTTCAGGGTATTTTCTCACAACACATCTCTTCTTGCTCTTATTTGATTCAGAAGAATTTTCATGTTAACAGGTTACAATGTTATAAACAAAGGATTATGACTTCATTATGGGATCAGACAGACAGAGAAACTGGGTGTGAGAAAGAAGGCTTTTACTCAAACACAGATCCCTCTAATACTACCAAGAGGAATATAGAAACTTACTGACAGTTAATTGAATTCTTATAAAATATTCTAATTTTGCCAAATGTGCATCAGTATGAATGCTTCTTTTTAAGTGGAGTTGAAGAATTAAGTAAGGTTAAAAATGAGTAATAGCAGTACTAGTAAAAACAAAACAATGAAACTGAAATTCTGTTTTAGAACATTACTTAGGTTTGACTCATTACAGTTGTGGTAAAACTCAGACTGAGTAATGGTATATTAAAAAGAAAAAGAGGCTGATGAGTGTTAAAAAGAAAAAAGGATGATCTGTGTAAGAAGAATTTCTCATACTCCCATTTTTTCTTTGTTACTAGAAGTTTTATGTTAATTGCTTGCCTTTCTGATTCCTTTCAGAAAGTTGTCTTCATAGAGTTAGTGTTCTTAACTTAATATCTGTTTTAATAATGGCTCACATTTTAACCATAATTTAATTTGTAGAGATATTTTTCAGAAGAATATTTGAACAGAAGAACATTTTTTGCTTTTAGAATTAGAAGATGGCCATAAACAAGCAATGGTTAGTGAGCGAACAGAAGCCTTTACTACTTCACGAAATCTGTTGGTCTCTGGAGCAGATGCCATTGAAAGGATTATGTCTTCTTACAAAGAGGTATTGTGTGTCATTTGTAGTATACAACTGAAAAGAGAAATAAATGAAAATAAAACAGAATTTGCAAATGTAAGATTTTTTTTTTAAATTTCTTTTGTAATGATATTGGGGCAGATTCTGCAGTCCTTAAATCAATGGGAGTTTTTCTGAAGTGAAGACTGCAGAATTTGTCCCTTAGTAACTTAAGTACAGCTAGTATTTTAATGTGGGGATAATTTGTGGCCCATGAGCATAAACTAGAGGTCGGCAACCTTTCAGAAGTGGTGTGCTGAGTTTTCATTTATTCACCCTAATTTAAGGTTTCGCGTGCCAGTAATACATTTTAACATTTTTAGAAGGTCTCTTTCTTTAAGTCTATAATATATAACTAAATTATTGTTGTATGTAAAGTAAATAAGGTTTATAAAATGTTTAAGAAGCTTCATTTAAAATTAAACTAAAATGCAGAGCCCCCTGGACCAGTAGCCAGGACCCAGGCAGTGAGTGTGCCACTGAAAATCAGCTCACGTGCCACCTTTGGCATGTGTGCCATAGGTTGCCTACCCCTGGCATAAACCATGACAGCATTTTCTAGACTAGAGCCAGATACTGTGCAGACTTCTCAAGCAGTTTTCCTAATAGACTGTGTGATTTTTGATTCATCTGTTTCAATACTTGGCCTACAATGTAGAGAGAATGCCTGGTTACCAATTATGTGAAGGTGTTACTATTCGCATTCAGTGTTAAAATCATTTGTATAATGCTATAAATTTACATGGCGCCTTGCAAACATGGCTGCTTTATGATGCAGAAAAAATAGCCACTAAATAATAGGTGAAAGACAGCAAACTGATTTGACTTGTAACACAATTACACTTTAATTCAGAGAGTATGAAGTGAAAGACCAGTGTGCTGAGCTTCCATCTTAATTTTATACTTAAAATTTTGCCAAAGAAGTATTGGGATACCACAACTTCATATTTTATTCTAAGTTCCCTTTAGGTGATTGCCATACAATGGTAATATGCTTCCTGTGAACTTTAATATTTTATGGTAATAAAGTAAGAATCCCACTCCCTTTTCTTACACAAGCAGTCCTGTATTGGTCAGCGGAACTGACCTCGTTAGTAAGATGGGCAATGTTTGGCTTTTTGCGATTTCTTTTTTTTTGTCTGTAGGCCACTGGTGTAAATCCAAATTTTCAGTGTTTTGATGGATAAGTCTATAGGCTCATGCTTTGGAAACTGTTACCACCTGTTAGCTTTCCTGCAGCATGAGAGTTGAGATGATGGTCTAAGGTTTGTTCATAGGGTACAGCGTTCAGTATCACAAATATCACTGTAGCAGAGAACACTGTTTGGAGTGCTGGTTTGAAGTCTTAGCAGAGGCCAAGGATTGAGGGCTTGATTCAACTCCCACTGAATTCACTGGAGAGTTTCCCAATGACTTCAGTGGGAGTTGGATGAGACCTTGAATAGGCTTGGAGGCTGAATTACATTGTCATATTTAGAAGTGGTCATTGCAGGTCAGGATGGAGGGCACACTGGTGAGACAATGTGGAAAGGCTGTCCTGCTGCTGTCCACGTTGTACCTGCTATACTGGTAGAAGGAGATCTTCAGTCTTAAATACTGTCAGTACAACTCTTTTCACAAGTGTTAGAGACAAAAAACTGCCAATGCAGGACAGTCTAGGCTTACTCATGGAGTTGAAACATTTGATAATTATCATGGGTTTTGCAATGTTCTCCTTATAAACTCCTATACGCTTATAAAACCATGGCTGAGAGCAGGACCTTGTAATTCATAACAAATAGCTGTTCTTTAATTTTGTGCAATTATGGGACTTGTCTAGAGTTACACTTCCTTATACCAGAGGTGTCTTCTAACACCAGGTTTGGATCAGGCTACCTCTAAATGCTTTACTACAACTAGCTAATTTGTTTGTTTTTTAAGACTATGTGTAAATGACACACCACTTTTGGTGGCGTGTAAGATACGTGTGCTACATGCTACAGTGAAAAGCATGCTGCATTCACGCTGTGGCGTGTTGCTACATGTGTCAGTGAAAGGCTCTGGCAATGGGGGAGGCAGCTGGGAAAGGTTCTAGCAGCTCCCCTCTGTCAGAGTCTTTCCCTCTACTGGAGTCTTTTCCTACGGCAGGGAAGGACTCCAGCAATGAGGAGCTGGCAAAACCTTTCCCCTCTGTCTCCCCCTGGTTGCGTCTTTTCCTGCGACAGGAAAAGGCTTCAGCCATGGGGAGTTAGTGCGACACTATACTGCTAGAAATAGCAGTGTAGATGAGGAGACATGGCTTGGGCAAGTTGGAGCTGTATAGGGTTTGTACTCACATACATACCCACCCCCTTTACTTTACTTGCCTAAGTCGTACCTGACTGTCTACAGTGCTATTTATACCCGTGCTAGGCAGGGTGGTTACGCGGTATGTACTCTGCATGCCGCAGAAAGAAGCATACTGTTTAGATGCACGTTTATACTCATTGTTCTGCTATTTTTGCCTCTCTCCTAGCTTTCGACATCAGAATTTGTGTTTTCTGAACCTGGGAATCATTCAGTTATATTAGGAATAATACTTTTCCCTTCAGTCTTCTATACCTGTGCTTCTCAAGCTATCTGATATGGGGGACCGGCAATTTTTTTTTCCAATGTGTGTGCAGAACGGCAGCCGATGGCTCGCAGACCGGCACCAGTCCGCGGATCACCACTTTGAGTAGCACTGTTCTATACTACTGCAGATGCTTGGGTGTAATTACTCTCTGCCAGCAGATGCAAACAGTACATTGAGACTTTTTGGTGAGGTCATCACCCTGCAAGATAAGGGGCTTACCAGGTCCTAGAGCTCATTTGTTTCTGTCTCCAGCAGGCTGAGGATCAGTATCTTCAATGGCTGTGGAGACAGGCCTGAACAAAGGAGAAAGTCCTTGAGCAGGCATCAAAGGTCTAGGAGGATTTCCAGTTATGCACCAATATGAGGCTCCATAAGAGGCATAGACAGCGTGGAGTGCAATGAGCTAGCCCTCAGAAGAGTACTATATGGCTAACTGCTGCAGTCATTTCAGGAGTAGGAAGTGCCCATGTTGCTTGGCTTTCACACAAAAAATAGATTTACCCCACAGGATTCCTCTCCTGTGAGATAGAGGGTGACGAGGTAAAAATAAAACAGGTCAAGACCCTTCCTTAAGACCCTGTCAGCCCTGTCCCCCAGCGGCCCCCTTAATTGCAGGGGGTCCAAGGTCCAGGCAGAAGAGCAGATCTTTATCCAAAGGAGGATTCATGGGACCTTTGCCAGGGTCTGCTGGAGAGCCTTCCCTACATTTTTAGATGCCTCTCTCATTTGAGTCTCCGTTGCTCTGGCGCCTCAGCCTACCCATGGAATCCTGAGTACAGATACCAATGTGTAGAGAAGGGAGTACACCTGGGGTACGCCATGACCCCGTAGTAGATTCATACCTTTCTGTCAGTGAAAACTATCTGTCATGTCCAGAGGAGAACAGCTGGACTTGTTCCTCTGCACTTTCACCACATGCTGAAAAATGTTTTGGTGTGGGTACACTGAACAGCCACCATCTCTCACTCAAATAAACCAACCTGGAGCAAAGATATGGCCAAGGAAAACCAGGTATTGAAAGCAGCCCCCCATTCATCCTTAGCCATCCTATTTGTTATTCCCATAGTCAGAGTATGCAATAGAGCAGACTAGCCAAACAGATCCTAAATATGCTAGGGAGTGAGTTTTTTGAGAGAATTTGTCACAATAGAAGACCTAAACAGACTAGACTGCCACAGAGTCCAACAGAACAGCAGAGAAGTATTTTAGCAGGACTAGAGATATGAATTCTAGCAGCCAGATGCCCTAGAAATTAAATAGAATGGTACACTGGCATGCTTTTCTCCCCATTGACCCAGGATGGGTGTTAGGAATCTCGCAAAAAAGCTCAGCAGTTCAGAGCCTCACAACAGCAGCATGAGTGCCACAGAAGAAAGAGAGAAAAACAAAGTGAGCAGCATCCAAATCCATTCCTTCCAAGAGAATGAAGTTTCTAGTCAGGGAAAGTTGCTTCAGTGCCAGCAAGGAAGTCCCAGAAGCATTCAGAGTGCATGGCATTAGAAAGTTAAATGCATCGTGGCCTGGAAGGTGTATACAGAACTACAGGAGATAGAGAAGGCAGCCACCTGGGGTATATGTCCTTCACTGTTTAACCTGTAGTGTTCAGCAAATGTAATGTTCAGGCATGAGCTGATTCATCATTTGGTGAGAGCGCTGAAGGCAGCTTTCATGAGGTATAATCAGTCCCTACTGAATGGCACAGCGTTGCTTTTGGAGGTAGCCAAACATCTGGCTTGGCACAGAAAATCAAAGAGAGGAAAATTTTCCGTATGTGTTAAATTTTCTTTCTTTGATATCTTCTGCCAGCCCAGGCCTCCACCCTTCAAGCTTAGCACTATCTTCTGCAAATTTCCAGGACTTTTTCAAACAACAAGTTTTATACGAGGACTCCAAGGTCTAAAAATTGCATCTGGTGTATTTTGCACAATAAATTGCAATGATAGGAACTGCTTTAGGGGATTCAGCTGATAGATGGGAGCCAGCAGCCCCCTTATTTGCTGGTGATGACAGCACTAAAAATTCTTAAGGCCTTCATTTGAGTTATGCCAATTTACATCAGTTTAGAATCTGTCCCTCAACATAATGTCGCCATCTGCTGGCGGATAGGAACAGTACATGTGCATCTGGGGGGACTGTCAGAGAAGATCTCAAAGAAAGAAAATTAATTGGTGAGGAAAAATTTCCTTTTATTCTTAATCCAGAATGAAATCAAAGTAGTACTGAGTCAAAACAATTGGGAATGCTATCCATAAATTATTAGAGAAAGTATATAATTTCCAGTTTCCAGATTATGTAATTTAAACAGATTATTTGTTGTTTCTCAGGTCACCGAGTTAGCAGGCTATACAGCTCGAGTGTACAATATGTTTTCAGTCTTTGATGAAGTGAAAAGGGGCATTTACAAAAGAACTGCTGTTGTTCAAGAGATTGAAACCAACAGCAAGAATGAAGATAAAGCAGAACTACGTATTGATGGCCCCTTAGAAATCAAGGGTGGGTAATTCACATTTTGATACTTTTCTCTATAAACTCTTCATAAGAACATAAAAATGGCCATACTGGGTCAGATCAAAGGTCCATCCAGCCCAGTATCCTGTCTACCGACAGTGGCCAATGCCAGGTGCCCCGGAGGGAGTGAACAGAACAGGTAATGATCAAGTAATCTCTTTCCTGCTATCCATCTCCATCCTCTGACAAACAAAGGCTAGGGACACCATTGCTTACCCATCCTGGCTAATAGCCATTAATGGACTTAACCTCCATGAATTTATCCAGTTCTCTTTTAAACCCTGTTAAACCCTTCAGCCTGGTATGCAACTTTACTGGTATAAACAAAGCCTTTCTTTACACAACCCTTGCTGCTATTTCAGAGATGCCACAGATCAACTCCCCTCCCATTGCATATTCCTAGCCCACTTCTTTGCAGTTTTCTATGCCCCCCAGCAGACAGCCCTGAGATTCCTTCCCAATGTACTCTCACAAGGGCTGGCTGGAAATTCTCCATCAAAACCTCCACAGAAAATTGTTTTTTTTTTTTTTTTTTTTACTTTTTTCCCCCAGAAAGAATCTGCTTTCCTTTAAATTTTTTTAGTTTTCATTAGAAAACTGAAACCTGAAATTTTTCATCTGAAAAGAGAAAAACGTTGATGTTTTTAGTAGGATTTGGCCTAAAAAACTTCAGGCACTGAAAACCAAAATATGTTCAGTTTTCATATTTTCAACAAAAAGGCAATTTTCTGCTGAAAAATTTTCTGATCCGCTCCAACCCTCCTGCCTGCCTTTCCCCTTGCTCCTCCTACCCTCTACATTTTGTCATTTCCCCTCTGTCTCCACCTAAGGTCTGTGTATGTGTCCTCTGTGACTGAATTCTTACTGTGCCCCATTAACCACCTTCTGTCTCTATTCCCCGCCCCCATCCAGTTTCTTTCCCAGTCCCCTCATATGACCTTTTGCCATTTACTCTTCTTGATTACCCACATTGAACACCTTCCATTTCTGTTTCCCAGCTGCTGCTGACAAACCAAATCCCTTCTCCACCCCCACAGGAAAAAATGTAGCTATTCAGAGGTGAAGGAGTTAAACTACTATATATGAAACATTTTTTTTCCTTCTCTTACAACATTATTGCCCTTCAGCACAGATTTCTCAACAGGGTCATAATAAACACCCTGAGGCGGCACAAACATTAACTGTTTTCTTGACCTTGTAGGACACAACAATGTGTGATTACCAATAAAATAAACCACATTTTATAATAGACTCTGTTTTGTAATGTGGTAGAGAAAAGGGTTTTTTAGTCCATAAAGTAGTAAATTAATGTACTTGGCCCACAGGCCATTGTTCTTTAGCATGGCTACCTCGTTATTTTAAAGACTGACTGCAGCTTGGGTCTGAGAACCCTGCTGACGTTTCAATGCGGTATAGCATCCCATTCTTTTTCCTTCAGCCCATACCAAGACTTTGTAGTCTCTGCAACTGTAGTGGAAACACATTTTCGGAGGCTCTCCCATCAGAAGTTCCACTGGAATAACATTTTTCTTCCTTTCTTTCAGCCTTCATAATTTCAGAATTCCCTGAATAGGAATTTATAACAGTGGAGGGGTATGTGTGTGTGTGTGGGTATCTGTGCACATGTGTGCATGCATGTAAGTGTGCATATTATTAAAAGAAAAATCCATATTTTAAACTGTCTTTTAAGGCAAGTTTTTTGCATTGACCCACACAACTTATTTCCTCTTTAATCGTCAGTATAAACTTGTGCCACCAACCAAGGTTCTATTAGCCTCTGTATTTACTACAGCCCATAACTGTACTGGCGTAGGCCAAGAAAGAATGACAACCTGTTAAACAGACAAGGTGGGTGAAGTAATATGTTTTATTGGACCAACTTGTACTGGTCAGAGAGACAAACTTTCGAGCCACACAGAGCTGCTCTTTAGCGGGTGTCTCTCACCAGTAGAAGTTGGTCCAGTAAAAGTTATTACCTCACGCACCTTGTCTCTCTAATATCCTGGGACTGACATGGCTACAACTACCCTGCATACAACCTTTTAAATACTTTAGTAAAATAACAATAATATATTATTTTACTATAGTCATTCCTTATCTTATCATTCAGAATTATAAAAAGGATCATCACTTTATTTTTGTAGCAGTGCAATCAATTATATGCCTCATTACCTTACAAAACAAAACAAACAACCTCCCACCCCTTCCATTAAGAGAACCTTAAGGTCTCAAAGTCAAGCACTCAAATGTTAGGAAATCCCAGAATTAATGTTGCCTGTACAACTCTCACCACAATATCTGCATATTTTACAGCTGTTAATGAATTGATCTTCACAAGGTCGGTTTTAGGGTATTATTATCCTTGTATTCTAGCTGGGGAACTGAGACATGGAGAAATTAAGGACAAATATGTCATAGGTACCCAACTTGAGATGACTAGGTGTTTCAGATAATTTAGCATTTTTATAACACCTTATATATCCAAAGTGCAGCTTTGACTTCTGTTGAAGTCATGAGCATTCCTGAAAATCTGGTCCCAGCTGTCTGAGGTCAGGCACCTAGAAAATAAGGAACGCACAGTTAGTGGCCAATGGTGATCATTTTAGTTCAAATGGCTTGTCCAGCATCATATGGCAGAGGCAAGGAGTAGAATCTAGTTCTCCAGGATAGCATTTTAATTCTCTAACCATAAGACTATATATTCTCTTCTGATGGTCTCCTGCCTCCTTCACTACACATTTTCCAACTTCTCTGACAAATGAGGCAGGCAACAGATGGAATATTCAGAGAATGTAGCTGCCAAATTCTACCACGCCTTTATGTTCAGACTTTTTCCAGAGGCTTATAACTTGGCCAAATTTGGATGAATTTTCATGGAGATGGCATAAGGCACATCCCTGACATCGGGGTGACCTGTCTGCCAAATTTCAAGTCCCTGCTCCAGAGCTTGGAAGCAACAGAGCTTCTCAGCTAAGTGGTTGTAAGAACTATTTTAAGATGGGAAGAACAACCCTAATCTCATTCCTAGAAATCACCAAAATATTTTAGCTGAAACTTTGCAAAATTCAGCCTGAGGAAAATGCCCAACATGGAAAATTTCAGCCCAAATAGTTACAGATTGGTAAAGTTATAAGCAACTGAAAACAGGCCTTATAATGGAAAGCATAAAGCAACCGTAATTATAGGCACTGCTACCAGATTTACCTGTAACAATCCTGTATTTAATTGTTTCTTTATTTGGATTAGTTTAAGATTTAACAAAATACGTAGGGCTGTCAATTAATCACAGTTAACTCATGCGATTAACTCAAAAAAATAAATCGCGATTAATCACAGTTTTAATTGCACTGTTAAACAATAGAATACCAATTGAAATTTATTAAATATTTTTGAATGTTTTTCTACATTTTCAAATATATTGATTTCAATTACAACACAGAATACAAAGTGTACGGTGCTCACTTTATATTATTATTTTTATTACAAATAGTTTAAAAACAATACAATGTAAAACTTTAGAGTCTACAAGTCCATCAGTCCTACTTCTTGTTCAGCCAGTCACTAAAAGAAACAAATTTGTTTACATTTACTGGAGATAATGCTGCCCACTTTTTATTTACAATGTCACCTGAAAGTGAGAACAGGAGTTCACATGGCACTTTTGTAGCTAGCATTGCAAGATATTTACGTGCCAGATATGCTAAACATTCGCATGCCCCTTCATGCTTCTGCCACCATTCCAGAGGACATGCTTCCATGCTGATGATGCTCGTTAGAAAAATAATGTATTAATTTAATTTGTGACTGAACTCCTTGGGGGAGATTTGTATGCCCCCTGCTCTGTTTTACCCACATTCTGCCATATAATTCATGGTATAGCAGTCTCGTATGATGACCCAGCACATGTTGTTCATTTTAAGAACACTTTCACTGCAGATTTGACAAAATGCAAAGAAGGTACGAATGTGAGATTTCTAAAGACAGCTACAGCACTCGACTCAAAGTTTAAGAATCTGAAGTGTGTTCCAAAATTGAGAGGGATGAGGTGTGGAACATGCTTTCAGAAGCCTTAAAAGAGCAACAGTCTGATGCGGAAACTACAGAACCCGAACCACCAAAAAAGAAAATCAACCTTCGCTGTGGCATCTGACTCAGATGATGAAAATGAACGAGCGTCGGACCGCACTGCTTTGGATCGTTATCAAGCAGAACCCATCATCAGCATGGATGCATGTCCTCTGGAATGGTGATCGAAGCATGAAGGGACAAATAAACTCCAGAAATCCGTGTCTCTCAGCCCTGTTCTTGGACTACTAGATCTCACTGCCCCCCTGAATGTTTCACTAACTTTTTTTTTTTTAACTTGTAGGAAAAGTTATTGATGTTGATCATGGAATTGTTTGTGAAAATGTTCCTATTATTACCCCAAATGGAGATGTGGTGGTTTCCAGACTAAACTTCAAAGTAAGATGATATGCAAGAATCTTCTGATTGTTGCCATCACATTAACACAAAACAACACAGAGTTCATGTACCCTATGTTAAATACTTGGAGAAGAGGGGAAGTCAAGAAAGGTAGGCATAGCGGCTCACTAGAGGCAGATATGTACAGGTTTCAGAGTAGCAGCCGTGTTAGTCTGTGTTCGCAAAAAGAAAAGGAGTACTTGTGGCACCTTAGAGACTAACCAATTTATCTGAGCATAAGCTTTCGTGAGCTACAGCTCACTTCATCGGATGCATCAGATATGTACAGTGTATCCTGCTCAAAGAAAATGGAGAGAGAGGAGAAGGAATGGTTTGACTTGTGTCATTGTCAAATTAAAAACTACAGCTGCATTTTCAAAATTGCTTAAGGGAGTTCTGCATCCAACTCCCATTGAATTTCTAGGGGACTGAGGTGCTTATCACCTTTGGGATGCTTTAAAAATCTTCCAAGTCCACAACATTAGAGCAAACAGTGAGTCTGTGGAACTTCACTTGACCACTCCAAGGAGCAACAGTAACTAACAGCTGACAGTATAATCTGCAGGTCCAGTCCTACAATCTTTGCTCAGTAAAAACTCACATTGTTTTCAGTGATTTATTGCAAATAGCAATTGATTCCTATTGGCATCACATTGTTAATGCATTTCATTTATTGAATGACTCCAAAATATGTCACAATACTGACTGTCAGTGCAGTAATTATATAGAAATAGGTGAAAGCATTGGAAAGTTGCATGAGAACTTCCACTACCTCATTTATGCATCTAATTGCTTATGTTACCTCTGTATTTGTATACTGGGTGTGAGAGAGAGAGAGCATCTTTAAGGAAATAGTCAGCACCTGGCAGAATAGGGCCTTTAATTTGGCAAAACTCCCAGCTACTTTAAATGTATTTCGTTTAACACTATAAAATGATGGATTGACATTCAGGCAGAGATATCTGTATGTTTGTACACTTTACCTAGTAGATTTATAGAGAGAATTCACAAACAGTGCTAATGTGTGGGTGGGTGGGGGGAAGTATAGGGGTGTATAGGGTGAATAAACAAAGGGGTGTGTGTGTGTATAAATAAAGAAATGCATAAAAATGACACTATATAAGCAGAAATGGAATTTTGAGGTTTATTTTCCAAGTCATTGGGCTTTGCTCATGCAGCTTCAATTCATTCACTTAAGGTCATGCCACACATCCCTATTCACTGCTTTGCAAGTTCACCCCTTTGCAATTAATTCACCTGTATAAAAAATACCATACGCTGTTTAATGAGACTGTGATGGTGTTTAGTATAGTTATAGGAATGTTAACGCTTGTAAGGTACTGAGTGTCCTTAACTCCTTACAGTTCCCTCAAATTGAAGTCAGTGCATTCAAGTACTTGAGGGGAATATTTGACTCTAAATATGATTTGTAGATTCAGTACAATGAATATTGAAATCAAGATTCATCATAGATAATGACATATGGTATTTGGGCATGTTTTTCCCAGCTCTCTGTGACTAGGGTCTAATTTTGCTACATGTTCAAATGAACTGCAGTTAGATTTTATCCAAGACACAAAGTGCCCAAATGTTTAAAAAAGGTTTCAGTGCTAATGACTCATGCCCCTCCACAAAATAGCCTTTTGTAAGTAATAGCATAGCCATCTGGATTGTTTCCTAAATTAGAAAAAACACATCTAAATTGCATCTTTGGAGCTAGTAAATATGATTTCTTCTGGTTCCTTTGCTTTTGCTCTTTGAATCCACATATTCTGTGCAAATGCAGTTTTTCAAACAGAGACTGAATAAGAGTTGTAGCCAATTTCACAATTTGTACTTCCTTAAACTAAATGCTTAGGTGGTTTCATTGTGGGGTGTGCTAGATTGTGTCATTATACACCATGGCTTCATGGTGAAAAGTGATATATTTTGAAAGGTGGTTGTTTTATCATTTTCATGACTATTTTAGGTACAGGAAGGAATGCATCTTTTAATCACTGGTCCCAATGGTTGTGGAAAGAGTTCTCTTTTCAGAATTTTAAGTGGTCTGTGGCCAGTCTATGATGGTGTTCTCTACAAACCACCTCCCCAGCACATGTTCTATATCCCACAAAGGTACGTGCTTTGCCTACATTGGAAATACTTTTTCCCCAGTTTTGTGAGATTTGGTCCATTTTCTAAACCCCTGGCATCTAAAGTTGGGTTAGAAGATGGTAACCCTCACCTCTTATTACTGGAAAGTGCAGAAGAATTGCTGCCACATTCAGTTGCAGGGGGAGAGCTCCCATTGCCAGTCACCAAAGAGTGCTGGATGACTGAAGAACACTGGGGGACAGTTTAGGCTTTGGAACAGTTTCCTTTTCTGTCAAGCAAAACTTGAAATAGGCCAAATAGAGCTTGTTTTTAAAATACATTTGAAATAAAGTATCACATGTGGGGAACATTATTTTTCCCCAAATTTGAATTACAATTTAAAAAACCTAAATTTTTCAATACTAAACCAAAACCAAATCCAGCATTACTTTTACATTATCGCTTTTAAATCTGTGTTCATTTTGCCAAGGAAAGTATGATGTTTTGAATGTTTCCTTTGTAATCTACAGGCCTCCCAGAATACAATACAAAACAATACAATACTCCCACAATACAATCCAGTACATTTCAATATTTCTCTGTGGAGTTCTAACTTGGATGTTTTTGCAAAAGCTAAATCAAGCACTGAAAATCTTTGCTTGCCTTTTGTAGTTCACCCTCTATAATTGGGTAAAAGTAAATGTTCACAGTGTGTTTCTGCTTAAAAAATACCAGTGATAAAGCAGGGTGGAAGCTGTTAAGTGACGGATAGATTTTTCTCTGCAGCTAAACAGAGCCTTCAAAACAACATAAAAAGCATGCGTGCAAATAACACAAAGGAGTATTTTGTAACTAGATAGTGTCATTAAAGCTCAGTACTGAGTAGAAGGCAGTGAGGAGTTGAACAATACCAAGAGGAACTTCTCAGAACTTCTGGGGAACGGTTACATCACTATAGAAATCAATGGTACACTCTCACCTGGAAAGAAAGGTTTAAATGATGAGCAGTATAAAGAATGTAAACCAGGCACTTCTGGTTCTTGTTGTTATGAGAAAGGGTAACAGAAGACGTTCAGTGAAACTGAAAGGCAGCAAATTTAAAAATGATAATAGGCTACTTTTTACATGACAGTATTAACCTGTGGGACTCCCTGCCACATGATATTATTAAAGACCAAGAGTTTAGCAGGATTAAAAAAAATGGATAATGAGCACCCACCATTACAATAGTAAGGATTAAAAAAAAGCAAAAAAATAAAAGACGTTTGGAAGGGATATAAACTGTCATGCTTCAGGGCATGTTACTCAATCTGTTACAGATGTGGCTAGGAAGAACTTTTCTTATGGGGAGTTTATTTTATAATTGCTCGCTTCAGGGGTTTCTTGCACCTTTACCCAGTGCATCTGGTTCTTGCCACTATGGGAAACACAGTATTAGACTAGATAAGCCATTACTCTGAATAAGCATGGCAAGTCTAATGTTCTATTTAAGATTTTAAAAGCCAACTCAAGAATCAGCTTATTTAACAGAAATAGCAAAGGATAATTATCCTCCAGTGTGAATACAGTTCTGTCAGGAGCCAGGCAGAGCTGCAATAAGAAAATAGGCCATTTTGGAAAAGAAGCACCCATTGTCCAAAGCTGCTAGTAGTCTTCCTGCTTGGTAACAAAGGTCCTGTGATCACAATTCTCCAGCTCCCCTTGAACCAGAGATCTGAAGCAATGACGGAAATGGCACTTGGAACTGTAGGGGACTTTTTTAGGCAAGGGGAAAACAAATTTTAAAGAAAAAGCCATGCTCCCCATTTCCTTCCTGGCTCCACCTGAAACATTTAGAAGGGTCCGGAAGGGTTACATCTTAAACTTCCCTCTGACTGTGCTAGAGATTTAGGCACTAGTGAGGCTGAAAGTCCGCTTGGAGGAGCCACTTCTGTGTTCAATGTCTCTTTTTCTGTCTTTGGAGAAGGCTTCCCACAAACTGCTCTGCAAGTGATCCTTAGCTGTGACCTGACGGGATCACCTCTAAAGGGGAGAGAGTAATTCACGCTCCTTAGCCACTGAATTCTTGCCCTCCTTGCTGAGATAGCAAACAGAGGTACCAGTTGTGGTTATGGTTTTGTGATGTGCATAGATGTCCTCTTGGAAGTAAGTTGAAGCCATCAGTTCATTTCAGATAGGCCACTAAGTAGCCATCAGATACTATCACTTTCAGTCACTACTTGCATAGCACTTGATTGTAACTGTGACACAGAGGTGAAAGGTGAACATTTGTATGTTCCTTGCTTTTAAAGAGGTCTCTTTTTTTTTAGCGTTAATGCCTTTGCCCCTGCACTGTTCACAACATCTCTCACTACTTGCAAAGTAAAAGATTTCTTTGCTAGGAGCTTTTTGAACTCTACCATATAAACAAGCTTTTGCTAGAATTAGAATATGATAGGTGCTAGAAAGGGGCTTATATGTCTCATCATCATCTTACTACTAGCCCTTCTCTCCCTTTCTCATTTATAATCTCCAAGCAGCATATCAAAAATCTCTGCTTTTGAGATATGCTTGCATAAATATTTTATGATGGTTAAGTCTAAGCAAGAAATGTAATGTAATATAGAAAGATACTGCATAGTCTAATGTACTTCACAAGGCATGCTGGCATTAAGGCATAAAGCATGGTGTTTTAACGTGCTGGCTACTCTATAATTATCTTTTTCTATATAGTTACAAATAAATGAACTGATGGAAGAGCCTGGTCACAAAACATAACAAAACTCTATAACAAACTGAGTTCAGTAAAAACAAGGGCAACAGAGTCCATGACTGTTGCAAAATAAGACTGTTCCTTCAGCGTACGAGTAGTTGTAGGACAAATGGGGGTGTAGCGGGGTGGTCACCTGCTCTGGTCTTAAAGGGCTTGAAATCAGCCCTGGGAGAGGGCTGTGGCTGGGAGCAAGCAGTCCCATGCCCCAATCAGGGCTCAGCTCGCCCTTATAAGAGGGCAGTGGGCCAGGAGCACACAGAGTCTCCTCTAGCTGTGGAGGGAGATGGGCCTGGCTGCTGGGGAGCGTACCAGAGTAGCTGAGGTGGAGCAGGGCTGGGGGAAGGCCAAGGGAACTGGGGAGCTCCAGCCTGGAAACCCCCCAGGCTACAGGCCTAGGGTAAGGCCGGATAGGTACTGGGGCTGCAGGGGGAAGCCCAAAGGAAGGCAGAGGCAGCAGGTCCAAGCTCCCCCTTGCCTGTGATGATAGGCTTATACACTGCAGTCCACCCCAGTGTGTGGGGACTCAATGGTAACTGGCAGTAGCCAAAGACTGAGGTGAGGTGGGGATAGTGGGTGGGGGTTTCCCAGGGAGGGGAGACCCAGAGACTGGGGAGGTACTGCCAGGGGGCAGCATGCTGGGTAAAAGGGGCACCGGGGTCCGGGAGGGACACAGGGGCCAGCAACAAGCAGGACACCGGCCTGCAGAGGGTGCTCCGGAGGCTGGAAGAGCTAATTCCTTGTGAGACCAGCAGGAGGCACCGCAGGGGTGAGTCTCGCACCGTGACAGGGGGCCTTTGGGCACTGTTGCCTATTCTCCCATCTTCAAAAATCATGAGAGCCAGGACCAGGTTGACTGTAGTATGTTGCTTATGAAAAATAGACTACTCCTTGCATACACACTACAAAATAGATTCTCAAGCTTAACACACAAGTAGCTCAAATGATAGTCTATATATAATAATAAGGTTAAGCATTCAAAATTTAGGATATGCCCAATTAAGGCTGCCCTTAGTATCGTTATGGGAGTGTGCTGGGGTGTCTCTTGCCCCAGAAGGAGGGAATTTTCACATCAATGAGACTATTGTCTTTCCTGGCTACCAGGTCCATTTCAGAGCTCTCAGTTGATGAAGTTCCATCTTAGTTCAGGTGGCCCCATTAAGGTCTTCTACTTCAGAATGGGATGAAAGTGAGAGATGGAGTTTAGGACCCTTCTAAAGTCTGAATAGAAAGCTTCTCTGTTTTATTGGTTGAAGGATTTAAAGTCCCCTTTTTGAGGAAAGGGAAAGTCCAGCTCTCTGGGATATTAATTCCTTAAAACTGAGAAGCTTTGGCCCTCAGCCAACAAGTAGCTTGTATTTGTAAAAAGGACTGTGGGATTAAAACTTTTGAAGGTTGGTGGGTAAAAATTCCCCCTCTCCTCTCCATCAAGTTATTTTACCACATTTATTGTCAAATCTTTTCAAGATCTCAGAGCAGCGTCCATATGAACCTGACAGGATATACTTTACTCTTCTGAGAGCCCTGGAATGAACATGGCCAGTAGAATGGTGTTACTTCCTAGGTGGGATGCTAGGCAAGTATTCAGGGGACTCTGACTATAGCTAAGGGTGGAATAATTTAATAGTCTTTGCTGGGGTTGAAGGCTGTTGAACCTTCCTTTTTTGTAGTGTGTATTTGTATTCCTACATGAATTGTATATTGTGTTTTAAATATTTAGCTTGTTCCTGACTATAAGAGGCAGAGAATAACCCTGGCAGATTCTAAATTGTGCTAGAACTGTGCAATTGAAGCAAATCACTACTTGTCTTGGGAAATCTAGCCTGAGGGAACCAGTTTACTTATTAGCCTGTTACAATTTGCTGCATGGTCAGAGTGACCTTTTTATTTGTTTGTTTAAATAATTCAAAAATTGCAGACTTGATAACACACTGTCCACCTGCCTGATTTCCTGAAGAGGATCTGTTGGAGAGGGGATGTCAGGTTTTCCATAAAACTCCTTTGAGTCAGACACATGACTATGTATCAATCTTAGATGATTTAAGGAGGCTGTAGGCCACTAAAGAGGGTCTGCATGACTATGGCTCGCTTATTTAGATCACCATTTTCATTTGCTCACATAAGAAAAATGCATTGCATAGCAGAATGCCCTCAAGCAGCTGTATGCTGGTGGTGCAGTGAGTTTGGCGGATGAAACATGGGGTGGCTTATCAGATTACAGCTCTCCCATAAATTACAATATGTTAAAGAAGCGCAAGAGTATACTTGGAATCTCTTTTATATCTCCATTTCA